TCCACTTTAAATTACATTTTAAAAATTCAGTTCCTTGGTCACACTAGCAACATTCCAGTTGCTCAGTAGCCGTATGTGACCAGTGGCTATGTTATTGGACCAGTGCTGTCCTAGACAGTACTAAGTGTAGGAAAGGATATAGATTGCAAGGTTCTCTTACACGCATTGTTGGTGGGAGTGTAAATTTGAAAACAGTTTAAATCATCTTGTTAGGTGAACATTCATGCCTGGTGCTCCAGCAAATACCTCCTAAATATATACATATCCAAAGCAACTCTTGCCTCCCTTCACCAGGAGACAATTTATAGGAATGTTCATAGCAGACTTGTTTGTAGTAGCAAAACCTGGAAATAGTCTATGTACCATCTACAGGAAAACGGACGAATGATAGTATATCTATACAATGAAATGATAGCAATAAGCAGGTACGATAAATGGATTATAGATGCACACAGAAGAATGGCTGAATCTTAGCAGCATATGACTTAAAAGGAAGAAATAAGTCCCCAAAAATAAAGAGGCAGTGACATCCTTTTTCAAAAGACTAAAACAACTAAAACCAAAGAATGTAATGAGACTATACCAGAGCATATGTTGAGATGTAATAAGAACACAGGAAAAAGAGACGCAAAGGAATGATAAGTACAAGATTTAGAATAGTGGCTGTCTTAGGTGGAGGAGGAACGGGGGGGGGGGGTGGCAGGAGGGAACGGCAGAGGACCACACAGAGAGATTCAGGTTATGGTCAGTGACGGCGTTTTTGTGTTGGGGTTGGTGGTTTCACAGATGTTTATTATACCATTTAAAATAAAGAAAAGGCCAATGATGACAGTGGGCCTTGAACCGAGGATAATGATGAGCCTAATCCTAAAGTGCAGTTTACAAGAGAATAGAGTCCTTTCCTTCCAGGTGCTCATAGGCTCCCAGGGAACATGAATACAGGAAAGCAACTTAAGAACTGTCACTCAGAAACAGACATGCCACGTTCCTGAGTCACAGCGGATGAACAAACAGGAGTGCTATTACCTATAGCCACACTGGTTCCAAAGGGTTATTTGAATTTAGAGTTTCATCAACAGATGGGGAAAACCATTCCATCACCCAGTGGCCTGCACTGGAGAAGATCATTTTAAAGTTTTTTTCTGGCTTACAAGGTTTGAAAACACTAGCTTGTGGTTTTTTGTTTATAATTATTTGATTAAGTTTGGTACCAGATTTGTTCACACACAGTGATTTTAAGTGCACACACACACACCCCCCACCCAGCAGCCTCCAACTTGGGCTTTAGAAGTTAAAATTTTAGGTGAGTTTTGGAGAAGAAAGGATAGTTTTTCAACAGCAATGAAGCAATAGGGGATTCTGGGAGGAATTCCTTTAACCCCTTTGTGGTCCTAGTAAGAGTATCTCTGAACCACCCCTTCCGGCAGCCCCTAGAGTTACAAGACTATAATGGGAGACTGTTTCCTTCCACGGCAAAGCTGAACTCTTTTCTTCTATGTCCATGTGAGAAGTGAGCCTTGAATGCCACAGTGAGCTCCTCCAGTCAGCAGTATCGGAACGCTATGCCCAGCCTTCCTTGATGGTTGGTTGGTCACAGAATGAAGACCTTGGAAGTGGGAAGACACTGTGTAACCTGTGGGGAAGACAGATAAGAAACTTAACAGATAGGCAGTGTAAGCACAAGGGAGCTACTCGACTTTCCTGTTCTCCGGTGTTTGGGTGTGCTTATAGTTTACTTCAGACATGTGCTGGGAGTGGAGGTGAGGTTGGGTCAGTGAAATTTGGGGAGGATCCTGAGGGATGCCATGGAGTAAAGAAGTAACTGTATGCACCGGACAGCTATTTGATAATGTGATAACATGGGGCATAATTACGTTCTCAACTATTCTGTAGTTGTTCCAAGATGTGATTTCTAGGAGCTCAGGTCCAGAAACAAGCCTCCTTTCCTTGACTTCTGTGGCTTCTTTGGATCCCACCAGAGGAATTTAGGACTCTTAATAAGTGTTCTTCTCATTGGTAGTAGGCTGTTCCCACTTTGGGTACTAATGAAAAGATTGTTTCTCTTTAGGAAAATACATGTGTTAGCAAAGACATTAATTTCATGACCGTGCCTTCCTGCCCCTTCCTTCGTTTTGACTAGTGCAAACACACCCTTGATCTTTCTATCAGGAAGATACGACTCTAGCTGGTTCACATTTTGCCTTAACTTCATTGACCGCCAAGGCTCAGAATCTCTGGTCTTCAAACTCTCCACCAAAGTTTGTATACCATCTTTACTGTTAAGTTCCATAGTTAAAATGGCCCTTATGCCTGCCCCCCACCCACCCACAAATGCATTCATTCATTTACTCAACTAATGTTTATTGTTTTTCAGCCATGAACTGGGTACTGTTCTAGATCCCAGGAAAGCAGTGAATGAAACAAAATCCTTTTCATGAACGTTCCAGATGGGATGCCAAGCAATTAAGCAAATGTTTTATCTAAGTGGGATGTGAAGCAAATGTGTTTTGGACACATGGCTAACTTGATCTAACTTGTATTTTATTTTATTTGTTTGTTTATTTTTATTTTTTTTAAGATTTTATTTATTTTTGACAGAGAGAGAGAGCACAAGCAGGGGAAGAAGCAGGCAGAGGGAGAGGGAGAAGCAGGCTCCCCACCGAGCAGGGAGCCCGATGCGGGGCTCGATCCCAGGACCCTAGGATCATGACCCGAGCCGAAGGCAGACGCCCAACAGTCTCAGCCACCCAGGCGCCCCCTAACTTGTATCTTAAAAGCGTCATTCTCGTTGCTGTGAGGAGAACACACAAGGGTGGAGATAGGATAAATTACAGGACTACTGTAATAATCCATTACAAACCCAGGGGTCACTTGTTAGTTGTGACAGAGACGGAGAAGTAGGTAGAATGGGAGTATAGATGGATGTTGAGCCCACAGACCTCCCAGTGGATTGGGAAGATGTGGTGAGAAGCATCAGGATGAAACCTTACATTGACAAGCTGTGGGGAACGGGCCCCGTCATGTTCCTCTTGGAGGGGCCTTTGGGCTTCTGCCCCACTAGGCTGAACCTCTTCCAGGAACTTCATGGGCGACAGAATAGTAGGGGGTATTTGCCTTGGGAGAAGGGCCCTTCATTAGCCTGCCCTGGGCAGGGCTTGGAAGGACAGTAGCTGTCTCACGGGCAAGGCGACCAGAGCAGGGCTTTGCTGGCTGGGAAAGGCTACCATGCTCCCTCCCCGTGCTTAGCCAGCATCCCTCAAACAGCAGTTGACCGGCTTCTCCACCGGTGGCTCTACAGCAGCTCTTTACACTGCCCTCCCTACCTTCAGTTAATAGTGAGCATGTAGATCGCCAACTAAATCTTTATGTCAATATTTAGAGGGCCTAAATCTTAAAGAAGAGATTGAGACTATGTGTGGTGGGAGTATGTGAGTACATGATGTAAGTAAAACTTTTTTTACCCATTCCCTTAGTACAGATCATTGAAACTTCTTGACAGTCTCCTTACATCACCCTTGAAGAGCTCAGTTAGTGGTATCTAGGGCATCCTCAGTCCTGAACTTCTAAAAATTTTATCACTGGCTTTCTGGCTTTCTTGCACATATCAAACATTAACCAGGTATGGGACTTCACGCACCATGGCCCAGAGCAGAGTGTTGACCCGGGTCCAGGAGTGCTTTGCAATGTCCCAGTTTCACCGCTACCTCATTGCGTGGCCTGTGGCAAGTTTCTGGCTGTTTCTGTCCATATTGCTACCCCTGTTTGCCCACCAGGGCACTTCTGTGCCTTTGTAAGTAAGTCTCTACACTGCCATTAGTACATGGTTCTGAAGTGCTGATTCAGTGCTGATTCAAGCCTTACTCCTCTCTCTTAGCTGTGTCTAGAGAGGGATGTTTTGCTTCAGTGGAATCCAGGAACAAATAACGAAAAGTACAACAAGTACAAGGCTGAGGACAGACCCGGCACACTCTTATCAGTCATCTGAAATATGCACAGCCTTTCCAAGACAAATACGGACTCTTGTTTCTAGGAAAACACCGAAAAGTACTTATCAATTACCCTGTATATGGTTTGTGGAAAAAGACAACATCAGCCTACCCTGAAAGCCATGGCAAAGCAGATTCCTTTGGGGCAACTGACAGCTGAGTGGCATGAGTTAGAGGCGCTGCAGAATCCCAGACTGTGGCCTGGGCCCAGTCCATGGAGCCTCTCCTTGCCCTCCCAGGGTTCCTGTGTCCCTTGCCCTGTGCCCAGGCACTGAGCTCCTCCTAAAAGAAGTCCAGAAGCCTGGTATGTGCTTCCTAGATGCCCAGGCCCCCTCACTGTTCTTCCTGGCCCTTGCAAGTCCAGAGACGCCTCTCCTAAAGATTCCTAGAAAAGCGGGGTTTTCCCAAGTAGAAGTCTCAGTAGTAACAACAGCAGGAGCCGTCACTGGTGGCTAGCCCACATCCTGTCCAGCACAGGCTCCACAAGCTGTCCTGTGAGGTACGTGTCCTCCTCCCATTTTACAGAGAAAACTGGAACCTGGCATCAAAGAAGCAAACTCTCTTGTCCATGGTCGCCTAGTCAGGACATGGCAGAGACAGGGTTCTCGTCAAAACCGGAGTCTCAGGGCGCCTGGGTGGCTCAGTCAGTTGAGCGTCTGCCTTCGGCTCAGGTCGTGATCTCAGGGTCCTGGGATCGAGCCCCGCGTCGGGCTCCCTGCTCAGCGGGGAGCCTGCTTCTCCCTCTCCCTCTGTGCTCGCCCGCTCTCTCACTCTCCCTCTCAAATAAATAAATAAAATCTTAAAAAAACAAAACAACAACAACAAAACAAAACTAGAGTCTCGAATGGCTCCCTCCTAGTGCATTCATTCATAGGTGGTGCTGCGGCGTAGTTCTGGTCACTGAATTCAGAGTGTGCCTTGTATGATGTAGTGCTTTTTATTTCGGATGAGGAAGGGAGATCCTTTGAACCATAACACTTAACCTCCCTGCTCGGTGTGCCTTTCCCCATGCAGGACTCAAGCCCAGAGGGTTCGGAAGCCTCGCTGCTGCAGCGGGCCCCAGGGGCTGCTTCCTCGATACTCGGAGAGCCAGGCGGAAGGGCAGGAGCAGCTCTTCAAGCTAACGGACAACATTCAAGATGAATTGTAAGTGGAGCCGTGGGAAACCGGCCCTGTTGACTCACTGCGTTCATTGTCTTTTCTGTCTCCGAGTCCAGGAAGTTTCTCTTGTTCGGGGCATCACCATGCCTCTTCGACCTTGGAACTTGTCAGAGATTCCTTGGCCCAGACGTCCTACAGCTGTAGGTATAACTACTTGTCCAAAGCCTTTTACCCAAAGCAGTGGTTCTCAAACCGAGTTCCACACCGAGACCTCAGTGTTTTGTGTCTCGAAAATGGCAGTCTCTTCCTAGTTTGTTCAAAGAGAGACGATAAGGAATAAAACGTTCCCAACTTTAAGGCTTTTTTCTGTGTGAAACGTCCTTAAGCTTTGGTGTTCTACTGTTTGCTGCAGAATGCCTAGTGAAACAAAACAGGGAAACAAACGGCAGACAACTAGTGGCTGAAAATTTTAGAAAAGCAATCTTTAAAACATTGTTTTGTTACCCTTCAAATGTGAAGCCTTACATACCTCCGGTCTTGTAGTATCTTCAGTTAGTGAAATTATTCCAGGTTGGTATGATACGATTCAGTTTATCACTATTTCAGGATATTCTGCAGAGACCCTTTTAGCAGAAAATGCTCTGTAACTTAAGTGGGTGTTAGAACCACCAGTCCAGAGAAGGCGTTTGGTTATGCCTGATGAGTAGCAAAATGCTCGCATAATTTCTTTTAATGCTTACTTATCTCCTTTAAGCTAAAGCAAGAAAGGGAGGAACCCTGAGGGCCATGAATATGTCTGGGTTGATGGAGGAGTGTCTGAAGGAGAGGATAGCCTTCATTGTCATTGTTCAAGAGCGTGCTAAGCTGACCTCGTCTCATATTTTTGTAGCAGTATTTGAATGGAAACATCAAAAATTAAGTCCAGAAATCATTTGCTGCTTACTGGATAAGATGGCTTCTTCCTGGATGTATGTGTTTTGTGTAACCCAAACCCCCTGCAGTGTTACTAGAAGGTCTCTTGAGGATGGCGGGGCATAATACTGCCCGAGCTCAGGCTGCCGTAAAAAGCACCATTTTTGTCACAGTTCTGGAGGTTGGGAAGTCCAAGATCAAGGCACTGGCCAGTTTGGTTCCTGGTGAAAGCTTTCCTCCTGCCTTGCCAGATGGCCAACTTCTGGCTGTGTTCTCATGTGGCCAAGAGCGAGCAGGCAAGAGCTCTGGTGTCTCTTATGAGGACACTAATCCTATAGGGTCAGGGCCCTTACCCTTATGACCTCATTTAACCTTAATTACTTCCTTCCTCCAAATAGGGCTTCAACATAAGGATTCTGCAGGGACACAGTTCTGTCCGCAGCATGCTTCTTGAATATGTTCTGCTTTTTAAGTCTAGGCCCAGCTCCGATCACCATTGCAAATAAGGGACTCCCCAGGCAGCTTCACTCTGGGGAGGACTTTCTATTCCTGCCTCCTTGGGGAGGATTTGGTGGCATGGTGGAACTTTTGGATCAGAGGCCCCCGAGAGTCATGCCTCAGGTGTAGCAGGGCTAGAATGGCAGCCCCAGCAGCACTGGGATTTTTGTCTGTTCCATTCACTAGTCCATCCTTAGCACCTAGAACGGTACCTGGCACATGATAGGCACTCAGTAAATATTTGTTGAATCAATGATAGCTGGAGAGCTGCGGTATAGCATTATATTAATACGTGTTCACTTTGCCATCTTTTGGGGGTTTTTTGGTCAAAGGTTGAGATTATAAAGTATTGTACGTTGTACTTTTTTTTTTTTTTAAAGATTTTATTTATTTATTTGAGAGAGAGAGAATGAGAGACAGAGAGCACGAGAGGGAAGAGGGTCCGAGGGAGAAGCAGACCCCCTGCCGAGCGGGGAGCCCGATACGGGGCTCGATCCCGGGACTCCGGGATCATGACCCGAGCCGAAGGCAGTCGCTTAACCGACTGAGCCACCCAGGTGCCCCTGTACGTTGTACTTTTAATTTCCTCCCCCACTCACCCCTATTCAATTCGAATGATCTCTGGCCCTTACAAAATTCATTTTCAGTAGAATGACATGCGCCAAAAACACAAGGGAGAAATTGTGTGGTACAGCAAAACCAGGATTGTTCCCAGTGAGACGCGCACATTGGAAACAGAGCCAGTTCGGCTGAAAACTGGAATCAAACCGAAGTCAGTAAAATCGATTTCTTGAAACTCTCGAAATTCATGTGAACTGGGGAAAGATATTGGCATGAATGAGTTTTGACTCTAAAGATGAAAACCATGTGTTGCTACCCAAGTTTGTGGGTTAAATCTCGCCAGTGAATGTTAAGGAAAGCACGTGACCGTGGCCTTCCTCGGGTACAAGGAAGAAGTCATCAAGGAAGCCGGCAAATTCTCTGAAGTATCCTCAGTTGTCAGGCTGGGTCTTCACGGTGACGTGAACGTTAGAATCATCACTTTGCAAGAAGGGGGTTTTCAAGAAAAGCACACAAGTGCCAAATTATACCTCTGACTTTTATCCTAGAATTGTAATTAAAAACATACTTAAAGACCTAATTATTTGCATATTTTCCTTCAGAGTTAACCCCTTAAAAGGTCTTTAATACCTTGCTCTACTGTTCTAACTAAATGTTTCCACATTTTTTCCAGTTAGACTCACTGTTTCACTTCTGGAAAATGTTGTGTAATTACTTCCTGATGTAGTGAAAACCCCACAAAGTCCCCAGTGCCATGGGCACTTCAACTTTGTCCTCCCAGATCAAGTTTCATTTAATTTTTCATTTTAATTAATTAGTATTAAAAAGATAGTTACTGACATAGGATTTAAGGTCTGGCCAGCTGAAACGGCTTCGGTTTCAGAAGAATCGACTGTTTCTCTGGTATGTTACAGACTTAACATTGCTTCCCATTCTTTTCAGTTTGGGTTTTGAAATACGATCCTGGGTTAAAATGATGTTAAAGTAAATTTGTCCCATCTGATTAAATTAATTTTGCCTTATAACTAGCATCTAATCTGTAGCCAGGGACCTCATTTTCATTTAAAAAAAAAAAAACGGAAAGGAAAAGGAAGTTCCTATTTTATGTCTAATACTTTATCACAGACAAAGCGACACACCAGTATTGTAAGCATTAGGGTGGCTCTTAACCTGATCAAAATAGGTGCCTGTGAGCCACCCACGTGACCTGATACTATTTTCTGGAGTTTGACAACTGGGTTCTATTTTCAAAATGTAGTTTCAGAAAATAACATTGATGAGATTGTTTTTTTAATACAAAGAAGTATTAAAAAAAAAAGTGGGGTGCCTGGGTGATTCGGTCGTTGAGCGTCTGCCTTCGGCTCAGGTCATGATCCCAGGGTCCTGGGATGGAGCCCCGCATCGGGCTCCCTGCTCTGCGGGAGACCTGCTTCTCCCTCTCCCACTCCCTCTGCTTGTGTTCCCTCTCTCGCTGTGTCTCTCTCTGTCAAAGAAATAAATAAAATCTTAAAAAAAAAAAAAAAAGGAAAGGAAAGGAAAATAACAGCCTATAAACCCACCAGCCAAACAAGTTCTTTCTCCATGAAAGAAACTCATGCACATGGTCAGCACATTCAGAGTACAAAAAGAAATGAAATCAAGAGCAAAATTTTCCTTTCTTGCCCTCCTTGTAAACATACTGTTTTTGGTATTTTCGATCTTGTCTATCCTTTTTTTTTTTTTTTTTAAAGATTTTGTTTATTTGACAGAGACGCAGCGAGAGCGGGAACACAAGCAGGGGGAGTGGGAGGGGGGAGAAGCAGGCTTCCCGCTGATCAGGGAGCCCGATGTGGGGCCCGATCCCAGGACCCTGGGACCATGACCTGAGCCGAAGGCAGACGCTTAACGACGGAGCCACCCAGGCGCCCCTTGTCTATCCTTGACAAATTGCAGATAGAGACAGAAATCAAAAATTTTTTTAGAGCACAGGTTATAGTGTTGATTCTAACAGCATAGAATCATCAATATAAACCTTATAGTAACATATAGTCTGAAAACAAAAACAAAAGACAGCTCCTTTTGAGGAATGGGTTAAAATTCATTAGCTTCCATTTTCTAAACCGGATAATAACCTGTCAATAACCATTGACACTTAGGGAATTGGACATTCTTTGATATGCCCCTACATAAAAACTTTTGTGTGACTGATTAGCCAGCTATGCTGATAAAAGTTAATGGCTTGACTAAATCTTTCATAAGTTAAATCAAGAGTTCCAAGAGAGTTTTGTAACTTTACTAGTGGGTAAAATATATCCATACAGAGTTGCGTGTGGCTCTGGCAAATTCCACCGGACCTTACAATGTAAATTCACTGTCATTTTGTAAGACTACCTAACACGTAAGTGTATTGAATGTTACTCTGTGCCAGGACGAGTAAGAAATTTGCTCTTTCCTTGACAAGTTTGCAGTCTAGCAGGGGAAGCAGGATGGTATTACCAACTACCTATAACATATGATTGCTTTTAAAATAGAAGTGTGAGCCGTGTGTTAGGAGGCCTCAAGGGGAAGTGATTAATTTATGCTTGGAGAGCCGGGGAAGACTGTGGACAGTTGGCCCAGCCCCGCAGGATGAGGGGGACTGTGCCTGGGAGAGAAGAGAGAGAGCCGCTGAGAGAAGGGTGCCGGGCAGAGGTGGCAGAGCTCCTGGCGTTTCTGGACGGTTGGGGTCCGCCAAGTGTGGCGGCAGCACCCGTGGAAGATGGTGGCCTACAGGCCAGATCCTAAGAGCCATACGGAGTTCACTTGTTCTGTAGGCAGTGGTGAGATTTTGAAGAGGACCCCACTCCAAATTACGCGTTCCAAATGTAACCTTGCCGGCAACAGAGAAACGGATCAGAGTCAGAGAGAGGAGACAGGAAGGCGGTGGCGGGTGCCCCCCGGGTGTGATCCACGTCAACGACATAGACGGCGGCTGTGAATGGGAGTCGGGGGGCGGACAGAGTTGAGGGTACTTGAGGAGGTGGCATCAGCACTGACTAAATACAGAATCGGAGTGAGGAGGGGTTGAGAGTGACCCCCGGGCTTCTTGTCCTTATGGCTGGATGGCCAGGAAGGGCCGGAAGCCCTGTGGCTCTGAGGAAGGAAGGGACAGAGGATGGCGCCGCTGCGGAGGGGAAGGCCCCAGTGTGCTGCCTTGGCTGGCTTCTCCGATCACCCCGAGTTGTGGCTCCTCTGGCGGACAACTGACGTGTTTGCCATCTGTCTCCATAGCAGGGGACCCCCCGTCTACAGCTTCGTTTTAATCATCTTTTGATGTGGTTTCTAGATTTTGTAAAAAAGAAAAAGATGATGATGACGGACGAAGAAACCCAAAGTGTCGGTGGCTGGTGGCAGGAGTGCTAGGGAGGCGTCAGGAGGAAAATGGGGAGGCAGAGCTGTTTGCAAAGTCAGGCTCTGGGTTCTTGCTCAGACGGCGCTCGGGGAGAGAGTGAAGCCCAGCCATGGCTTCACTCTCTCTCTTTCTCCTCGCCGCGAGTGTACCGTTGGCTCTGATCTGCTTTTGAGTTGAAAAGACTTCAAAGAGTTGACACACACGTCCAAAGAGTGCTATTACCTGTGGTGACGGCAGGGTATGAACGGGGCCTCTGGTCACAGAACAGAGGTCTGGCCATGAATCCTTGAGACTTTGCTACTTGGTGAAGAACCTGGCAGGTAGCATCACCTCTGTTGGATGAAGAAACCGAGCCACAGGGACGGCAGCTGGCCTGCCCAGAGTCACCCGGCCTGGCACCATTTCCTCATGTATGAGAAGTGGCACCGTAGAGCCTATGAGCTCAGAGCCACCCTTCCTCCCGCGGCGGCTCTGGCCAGGCTGAGGACTTGTGCCCTCCGTGGCATCTTGGAAAGGAGTCTATTTTAAAGCCCATAAAAGTGTTCCTGTATGGAAAGTGCACTAATAATGTTAGCCACCCTGGCCTGGCTGTGAGAACAGCTGTCTGGATGGGAAGGCCTGGCTTTCGAGAGGCTGTGTCCCAGTGTCAGCTACGGCAGGTGCCAACAGGTGAGAGTGGGGGCAGGGGTCCTGGGATAGGTCCATCCTGTGCTGGACCAGAGGAAAGGAAATAAACTCAGTTGGGTTTTTATTTATTTTCTTTAAAGATTTTATTTATTTGAGAGAGAGAGAGAGAGAGAGCACAAGCAGGGGAAGCGGCAGGCAGAGGGAGAAGCAGAGTCCCCGCTGAGCAGGGAGCCCAACACAGGACTCGATCCCAGGACCCTGGGATCATGACCTGAGCAGAAGGCAGATGCTTAACAGACTGAGGCACCCAGGTGCCCCTCAGTCGGATTTTTAGTGCACATTCCTACTCTCACCCCAGTTGCGGCGGCCAACTTTGGGGTCTCCTTTGGGAGCCCATTGCATGCCCAGCCCACCTGTGCTCAGAAACCATAGTCCGTTTTCAGTGTTCATGCCAGTTGCTCAGCAAGTCCTGGCCCAGTGGCACTTCCTGTCTATGTCAGGATGCTTTTCTCATTTCTCTCTCTCTTTCTGTTTGTCTCCCTCTGTTTCCTCTTTTCTTCCCCCCGGACGAGCTGTTTTAGATTCCATTCAGTTTGATTAAGCGATAACGCTGTCCCCTTGATACTGTCAGAACCTAGAATGTGGGAAATTCTGTGCTGAGTGGCCTGAACACCAAGAGCTGCTGGGTATTTCTAATTTTGGCATTGAGACTTTACAAGTCTGCATTCTTGGCATTGCCAACCAGTTCGAATAGAACAATAAACCCCAATTTTTGTCATGCAAGGCTGTAATTAAAATGGCAACAGGAACAGGCAGATACTTACTGAGTACGTAGGGAGTGGCTGACTCAGGAGCGGTGGGCTCTCAGGGAGACGTGGGGGTGTCGGATATGGACCCCACTCTGACATCAGCTTAGAGCCAAGTCCGTGTTTGGCAGTGCTTTTGAAGGTAAGCAGTTTAAGCATTCAAAAGGGGGGGCAGGTTTGGAGTATTTCAGGGAGGCTTTGTGGAGAAGTGAGAGCTTGGAAATCCTCAGGTGGGGAGGGTTTGGGTAGGTTGTGCCCTGAGGGGGGGCGAGGGTGGATCTGTGACCCTGCAGGTGAGCGAGGGCCTGGCATCTGCTCTGGTCTGAAAGGAAAGCGGCCGGGCCCCGGTGGGTGGGCCTCCGTCCCATCAGCCGTTTGGTGACCGCTGAGAAGCAAAGCCATCCTGGGACCCCAGTCCCCAGACAGCTCCAGGGGGAGCCTCAGCTCAGCGGCTACAGTTTGGAAATTCCTCTCAGGACAGCAAGTCCCAGGGGGCCAGAGCTTGACAGCCAGCCTGTCGTCGGCTCTTAGTATTCTTGCCGTCATCTGGTCTCCTTTGCTGTCCCTCGACGTGGCCGCCCCATTGTGGCAGGCTGTCACAAGATGCCGCGGAGGCGGCCAGGCCCCGGAGAGCCGCCGTGGCCGTTTCCAAGGGTCACTGCCCTTCATTCAGGAGCCGAGCTGAAAGGTCTGACATGCATAAATTTCCACTTTAAATCTGGGAGCTCCATGGAGGAAGAGGAATGGGATTTTTTTCCGAGCGGCCCTACCGCCCCTCCAAATGATGACTGAATGTTAGTCAAATCAAGATTACAGCTTCAGAAAGCACTTTCTAATTTATTAGATTTTTCTGAACGTGCAGTGGCATTCTCCAGGCTTCCCTCTCACTGAGGTATGGAGCAGAGACCCGGACAAGGAAGGAAGCAGACTCTGCCTTCCCGCACCCGCCCGCTGGGGAACCCTATTTAACTCCGAGTTGGGGTGGGGGGGGCACACTCATACCCCCGGCCGCATCTCCATCTCCCCGCCGGTGTCTTCAGGGCCCCAGCGCTCACCCCCCTGCATAGCAGTGAACCTTGTCAGTGGCTACTTCGTCAGTAGTGAAAAGCATTGTATTTTCCTCCTGTTGTGTCCAACAAAGCCCGGGTACATTTCCTCTGGGCCTTAAACTCCCTAAAAACTCTCCCTGCAGAAAACCCCCCCACACAATGCAATGTCAGGATATAAAGTGGTGTCTCTTGTTTGTACTGTTGGTCGTCCTCACGAGCGCCCTTTCTCGAGCACCCCTGTGTAGGGGGCCCCATGCTGTACAGCCCCGGCAGGTCAGTGACACTTTTATTCCTAATCTGCAGATGAGGGAACTGAGGCTTGCAGGGTAGTAGACGGGAGGGAGCCTGGACTCCAGGTCAGCAGCCCGCACCGGGCCTCCTCCCCTCCCGCTGGCTCAGTGACCAGGAGCAGCCCTGCCGCAGCGGGCTGAGGCTCGGCTCGGCTCGGCGTGCCGTACTGACTTTCCCCCTCTCTCGGCAGCTTCATAGCCGTGGAGAACACCGACAGCTACTGTGTGCTCATCTCCTCCAAAGCCGTTTACTTCCTGAAAAGTGGCGACTTCGTGGACCGAGAAGCCATCTTCCTGGAAGTCAGATACGACGACCTCTACCACTGCCTCGTCTCCAGGGACCACGGGAAGGTGTACGTGCAGGTGACCAAGAAGGCAGTGAACTCGAGTAGTGGGCTGTCCATCCCTGGCCCTTCCCACCAGAAGCCCATGGTGAGTGCACAGCTGGCCCGTCTCCTTCGCCCCGCTGAGTGGTCTGTAGTCAGTGGTTAAGAGAGAAAAGGCCCTCGGAACGCTGTAGCCCTGCTTATCACGCTTCCCACCAGGAAATCATCTTAGGTTCACACTGGGCTGCCATTAACCGCTAGGGGTACTGCTTTTCAGTCCTACATACAGAAGGAGCTCAGTGTGCATTAACTGGGGTGAGGCTGTCCTCCCAGCTCTCCCAGTGACGACCCAGCACGTGTGCCCCCACTGCCCACTGGTAACAGTCCGGGCAGTAATAACCCAGCTCTAGCAAGTGGCGAGGACCTGCTGACGTGATAAAACGTGACTCTGCCGTGCATTGGCTCTGAGGTGTTAGAGCATGCACTGGCTCCCATAACAATTGCAAACTTGTTTTTCTGTGCAGAGAAGCAATATCTAGCATAGGCCCTTCCCCAGAATAAATTCTACATAAATGTTTATAAATAAAACTTAAATATTGCCTCCAAAGGGTACAAGGTATTGTCATGGCAGGACTTTTAAATACTAGCCTTCCCATTAATCACCAGCACGCATTAAGGATACACTGTCTGCCAGGCTAGATAGATACTAAGTACTTCCTGAGGGTTATTTGGTGTTGTACTGTCTTTGCGCCCACTTGCCCGGTAAGGAGGCTTGGTGAGGGCAGGTGACTCGCTCCAGGTCACATGGCCAACACTGGGAGGAACTGGGGTTCACACCCAGTTGGTGTGACTCCAGAGCCAGCAGTCTACACCACTTTGCTTGCTGCCTCCACTCAAAGAGACTGTTGGCTCAGCAGAAGCACATGGGAGGAAGCTCACCACCTCTAGCCATAGTCTGACTTCGCTGGCTTTTCGTGAACCTGAGCTGTTAGCCATGCCCAGTTTTCACCTAGTATGCCAGGATTTTCAAAGCTGCACTTGAGAATGATGGGCCATTCCAATGGCCCTGCTTGTGCCCGGCTCTCTCTGCAGACCAGAAACCGCCGCCAACCTCATTGGGCCTCTCTCCTCAGGAACCCCCTGACCTTCCCCTGCTCAGGAATGCACTTGGGTTTGGCTTGGCTTGTGCAGGCTCCCCTGGGGTCCTTGGCTTAAGTCAGGGCTGGTAGGTTCACAGAGTTAACACCCAGAAGTTGAACATTTCCACAAGTTCCTTTTGATGGTGGAGAGCTTTGCCCAGCTACGCTTTTGCTCCTTTCAAGGCAAGTGAGCAACTAAGCATTCTTGGTAAGAGCGGCCTCTAGGCATTTGTCTGAGGATCCTTCTTCCCTCTTTGCCACCAGGTGTTGGAGGTGAATCCCCTTGGTGCAGTCCTTTCTTCTTGCCCTTTATCTAGCCTCAGCAGACCCTCACCTCCTCAGAGCTGAGACTGGTGCTGGTGCTCCTGTACAGGGAGTCCCAAATGCCAGGTAACCGTGGCTTGGCTACCCAGTCACCTGGCGCGTATGTTAAAGATACAGATTCCAGGAATCCACCCCACATCTTGAGTCAGCATTCACCAGAAGCAGGCCCTGGGAATCCTTCTTAAAAGTAAACCCATACCAGTGGCGCCTGGATAATTCAGTCGGGTCCGACTCTTGATCTCAGCCCAGGTCTTAAGCTCAGGGTCGTGAGTTCAAGCCCCACTATGGGCTCCACCCTGGGCGTGGAGCCTACTTTAAAAAAAAAAAAAAAAAAAGGAAGCCCATACCCTTCTGATCTGCCGCCAGGCTGGGAGATGCCTGGGCCAATTTAATTGTCCACATCCTGTGATTTGTTTGCCCCCCCCCCCCCCCGGGCGGGTTACTGATTCTGTTCTGCTCTCCAGGTCCATGTGAAATCCGAGGGCCTTGCTGTCAAGTTATCACAAGAGATAAACTATGCAAAGAGCCTTTACTATGAACAGCAACTTATGTTAAGACTCAATGAAAATCAAGAGCAGTTGGAGCTGGACTCCTGAGAAATCCCAGCTGCCAGAGAGCCGCTCCCAGACACAAACCCCAGATCAATCAGGAGGAAAGGCCCATAGGCTTGGCCTCAATCAGAGGCAAAACCAGAATAAGGTTTGGGGGACGATGTCAAGAAACGAGGGGAGGATGCAAATGGAAACCATACTAACTTGTGGGCGGGGTGGAGGGTTACTTTAGATTATGGGGAAGTAATTTTTAAAAGGTTTTGGTTGAATAACGTTAAAAAAAAAAAGTGTACTGAGATGAATCTAATTTTTGGATTGCCCTGTATTTTGTTAACATGTACATATGTACAACTGTGTGTTTGTAAATATATAGGAGCGTTTCTGAACAGGGCCTGTGATGTGTGTAAAGGTTTGTTAACTGTAAAATAATATAAAATTATATTGGATCTTCTATTGCACTAATTCTACACATCTAATTCAGGGTACTCTCTTTAAAAAAGCATTCTTGAAAGTTGAAGAATGTTCTGTGTTAGTTTTGGAAACCAGAGAAGTCACAGGAACGAAGACTGAGTGAGATTGGAAGTGCTCTGGCGGGCGCCTTTGAATCCGGTGGCCCCTGGGGCTGGATCGGGGAGCCGGAGCCACCCCCGAAGGAGATGCAGGACTGTGGCTCAGAAACCCATCTTTTATTTATTTCCCATCCCCATTTTTAAAAGTAGGTCCTAGATTATCACAAATTCGTTTTTTCTCCTGACTAATCTCACTCAACTTTGAGACAAATTGTGTTCCGTTACGGGGGGGGCGGGGGGTTGGGGGCAGTGGGTGTGTGCACACACCCACGCTCACGGCAGCATTATAAGATTTCCTTGGGTTATCATCAGAGAGGGTCAGTTTGAAACACTGGGAGGCTCTGTTGATTTGGAAGGAAAAACATCTCACAGAGCTATCTGTTTTAACAAATCAAAAATCCACAGATTTATCAAAGTCCCCAGTAAGAAGGCTCTTCTTTCTGGGCAACAACAGGGGGAAGGTCCTAGGACTCTTCCCTTTTTGATAAAGCCACAGGCAGGTACCACAACTGCACAGCCCTGGCATCAGCAGTGGTAACACTGGACGAGAAGGGAGAGAGTCTCAGAAAAGGGAATGAAATCTCAGTGTTAAAAAGCTGTTTTGTCAGTTTTTCATGGAACCAAGATTTGGCTAGAACATCTCTCGTCCTTGGTTTTAAATTCCAGCCAGTTAGCAAGGCCTGGTATGAGTGCCCCCTTCCTCCTGGGTGTTGTCTTTGCTGTTTCCCTTTTCTGTAAGGAATAAACACATTGGGAGGGGGGGCTCGCTCTAGAATGAATGACTAGCCTTGTGATTTTTTAAATTTTCATTTTAATAAAGCTAATCAGTTTCTATGACCTTGTCACGCATAGATCAGCGGATGTGTAGAAGGTTTTGGTGTTTATAACTCATGACCCAAACCCTTCCGAGACGCAGATGAAGCTGATTTGTCCATCTCAGTGCCCCTCCCCTCTGCGAGTGTGCGCACGTGTGTGTGTGTGTGTGTGTGTGTTTTCAAAGATGCGGGAAGGGAGCTTTAGCACAAGTGCTCAAGAGCTTTCGCTAAATAGTGTTTCCAAGGTTATCGTCTTGAACCCCAAGGTCTTTGTCGTCTTCATGGACTCTAAGTTGGTGGATTGCAAAATCGAAACTTGGCTTGGGAAGGGTTGGAGTGGGTTTTGGTTTGTTGTTTGTTTGGCAGTCATGACTCTCCTGCTCACACACGAGATCCATGGCAGGGCGGCCCCGTGTTGCCCGCCGCGGGTCCTCCTCACCAGCCGCCCCGTCCGTGTCCCACAAGTCCACCTTGTGGTTTTTGCCGTCAGTGACCCACTGCCAGAGACCACGATCTCTTACAGATGAGACTCAGAAGGGCTGATTGCCTCGGTGAGCCTTCCGTCGCTTTCTGGAATGAAGTCAGTGGAATTTTGTGTGACTGAGGAGGGCGGCCCTCAGCCCCCCTGGCAGCTATGATGCAGGGAGCAGAGCTGCTTCCCATGCAGAGGTTTAGCAATGCCCTCCTCCCTGCTCCTTTCTAATTTTCATCAGCTCTAGAAATAGTCGCCCATCCTGGTGGATTGCGCAAGCCCTCGCCGAGCACCAGACACGTCTGAGAAGACGCTAGAGCTTCTCAGGCTCTCTGCCCTCGTGGCCCCCACTCCGGGCTCCGGGGGGCGGCGGCGGGGGGGAGGCTTTGGAGGGGGGGTCCTTGGACATAGTTTCCTGCTTGGCCAGGAAAGCATTCAAAGCTCTGAAGGAAGCTCCTGCCCCGGGCTCCTTGAATGCCCCGGTTCTTTTTAAATTGGTGTTTAGCCCCTGATGTCTGAGACTTTGTTATGATAATTTCTCCCGATTTTCATGCTGTCCCAAATACACAGTTTCTCCCTGAGAAAAGTAAAAAAGAAATTGAATGAGGAGAAATTGGATAAGGAGAAATCAAAAGCCATCCTAATTCCCCAGTTGGCCAACCCACAGGGCCGAGCGGCCAGAGCTAGCCCGGGGGAGGCGCCTCCGCACCCCCAAGGAAGCAGGGGGGATGCAGCCCTCACGGGCCCCGGCGTGGCCCCGGCGTGGCCGGCTGCCTGGTGGGGACTCACCTGGACGTTCAGGAGGCTCTAGGGCCACGTTGGTTTTAAGCATCATCTGTGCCTCAAAATACCATACATAGTAGCTGCTTGATAAAACCTGAAATTAAAATGTCTGGTTCTCTACTGTGTAAACATGATTACATACGGTCACCAATCTGTAAAGACTCTTCCTTCTGTTTCACATGTCAGAGTCGTTATTTTTCTTCCTGTGGAATAAAATGCTTTACTGACTTCCCAGACAGGTTGTTTGCTTCTGGTTTCTTGGTATTCCGTAGATTCTAGAACCATCGCCAGTGACAGATGCCAAACATATTACGACGTTCCCAGTAACACACATCCTCTCCCCAAGCTCCAGGGAAGCACACGACGGGGGCAAAGTCCTCACCGTGAAGAAACCCTCACCTTTCCTCCTCCAGAGCCGGCTTTGTGCGGGCAGCTCCTCCCCTCCCCCACTCGGGTGACTGACTAGGCTAGGCCTCAGCAGGATGGAAGTTGTCGTGTTTGCTGAGAAGGGGGGACTTCAGGGGAACAGGTTTAGAGCTCACTTTGTATGTGGTAAGTTCAAGGTGCCTACCTGACGCCACTGGAGATGTCAAGAAGGCAGTGGGGCATGCGAGTCCGGAGCTCAAGAGAGAAGTCCAGGCCAGAGGTGCTCCACTAGGAGTCATCAGCATCCAAATGACAAGTGGAGCCTGGGTGAAATCCCCAAAGCAGTGAGTTGAGTGGGCCTGGCAACAAACAAACAAACAAGAGGCCCCAGATCTGAACCTTGGGGCTCCCCAAAGTTTAGAGTGTGGACAGGGGGAGAGGAAGAGCGCAGGAGACAGCAGGAGCATCCAGAGACACAGGCGTGAAGCTGGGACGGTGTGGGTCCTGGAAGCTGAGTCCAGAAAGGTTTCAGAGAGGAGAGCGGTTATCAAATGCTGCTGCTAAGTCGGGTGAGGACCGACAATACTGGGCTTCGGCATCGAGGCCCCTGGAGCCTTCTCGAGCAGCTTCAGTGGAGTGGAGAGGGGTTAGAAGCCAGATGGCATTAGAGCCCAGAGGAAAATGGTAGGGGGGACCCTGGCAACAAGGAATATCGACAACTCTCTGGAGGAACCTGGCTAGAAATGGAAGGAGAGAAGTGGCTGGTACTTCGAGAAGGGCGGGGTGGAGGGGCAGTCGTTGATAATCAGGCGGGCAGTGAAAGGGTAGAACGGAGCCTAGCCAGGAAGAGGGGTAGATGTGGTGGAGACTTCAGGAAATCCTCCTTTCCTCGTTTCCATTGCTTCTCCTTCTCAGATCAGCAGAGAGGGAGCATGGGGCGGGACGTGATGGAGATTTGGAGGAGCGGGGGAAACTGGAAGACAAGACATCTGAGATCATGGGAAAGTGAGCAGACCAGGGAGGTACGGACAGTAGGTCAGCCAGGAAACATGAAAGGCCCATTCGAGGTTGGGGATCATTAAAGTGAGACCAGGCAGCCTGGTTCTGGTTTTCTCCAGCCACACGATTTAGCGTGGAATAGGCAAAGAATTGGATTTAATCAAGAACCGTCCCCTCCTGCCCGTTCAGATGTTCCAGCCACCATGGCCCAACTGGAGCTCAACAAGAGAGCCAGCCAGAACCAAATGTCAAACAGAAATCCGAGAGCTCAGAGAAGAGAAGGGCGGGGCTACACTTTCCAAACCAAAGCACACAGCCAGAGACTATGCTCTTCCAAGTGGGAGAGTCTCGAGGAGCTGTGGCTAACGCCCCGAAAGGCAGACCGCACAGCTAGAATAGTTCAGGGGCTCTGGGGCAGGGGGGCAACGCTGGAGGACAAGCTGTCCTCCGAGCACTCTGGGCCTTGGAGAAACCTAGCGCAGAAAGGGCGTGCCTGTCACTTCTGCCTGCCCTCCAGCTCCTCGGGCCACCCGTTCACGGGGAGACCAGGTCCTGCCCAGCCGCTACTGGTCCAAGCTTCCTTCCCGGGGGGGGGGGGGGGGGGTAGCGGGTGATTCGAGCAATCATAGACACCAGAGGAAGAAGACCTTGTTGCTGGTGGAGAAAACTGTTGAAACTTAAAATGAGCTTAGATCTTATTTCATACAAATGCAAACCAAAAATAGGATGTCACATATCCGTTATCATATGAAAGCAGGTAAGGCAGTATTTGCCCCTGTCTGCCCCTGCATATCCCCCTCTGATAGCCTCATGCAGAACAAGGCCACAATAAACAAACATCCTCCCGGTTTATGGGGGCGGGGGGGGGGCACTCCCTTGGTCTCCGTGGAGTAGACTCCTGGGAGCTGGTTGCAGTGGGGATGTACACCAGGTCATTTCCCACACCTGCTGCTGGGGTCGTGGAGGGCTGCGGCATCCGCGGTGTGGACCAGTCTGATGGGCACAGAGTAGTGTCCTGTCTTTACTTGGCTGTCTTCTCATTTGTAGGGACCCTCAGCAATGACTGCCAAAGGACAGCAGCTGACCTCTCAGCATCCATTCTTAGGACCACATTGATTTTTCCCCCGTTTAACCTTTTTTTTTTTTTTTTTTTTTTTAACGTCCTACATGATGTGGATAGATTTCCCGATAGGGCGCCACCCTTACTCCCTGGAATAGGCCCCATTTGGTCAGAATGTGTTAATGTGTTATTCTTTTGATACATTTCCTGGCTCAGTTGGCTAATATGTTGAGTCTTTGCATCTTTAAAGTGAGAGGGCTCCATCAGTTTCTATGTGCGCCAGAGGTTAGAATTAAAATTACTCCAGCTTCATCAAATGGGGCAGGGAGATGCCCGCCCATTTTCTCTGGCTTGTGATACTTAAATTACCTGAGAATTTCCTGTTCTCATT